ATCCCAGCTACTCAGGAGGCTGAGGCAGGAGAATTGCCTGAACCCAGGAGGCGGAGGTTGCGGTGAGCCGAGATCGCGCCATTGCACTCCAGCCTGGGTAAGAAGAGCGAAACTCCGCCTCAAAAAAAAAAAAAAAATGTTCTGTATGTGCAGAATAGTTTATATATGTGAGCAAGAAAAAGGATTTCATGTTTGAACTTATATATATCATTATATGTCACTTAACAAGGGGAATATGTTCTGAGCAATGTGTCATCAGTGATTTCCTTGTTGTGTGAACACAGAGTTTGCTTCCACAAACCTAGATGGTGTGATCACAGCTCACTGCAGCCTCGACCTCCCCAGCTCAAGCTATCCTCCCACCTCAGCCTCCCAAAGTGCTGGGATTATAGGCACCCACTGTGGAGGGTCCCTCTGAGTTTCTTAAAGAGAACTACCCCCAAATGAGGGACGTTGTGGTCTCACACGTCATTTTCTACACAAAAAATGGAAACTTAGGCCAGGTGCGGTGGCTCATGCCTATAATCCCAGCACTTTGGGAGCCTCCTACATACCTAGTCGTAGGGTAGAGCTTATTGCTCCTAGGCTACAAACCTAAACAACATGTGACTGTACTGAATACTGCAGACGGCTGTAACACAATGACAAGTATGTGTGTATCTAAACATATGGAAACAGAAAGGGTATACAGTAAAAATACAGTATTATAGTCTTATGGGACCATTATCCTATATGTAGCTATCATTGATTGAACATCATATGCAGTGGATGACTTTACATAGAGTTGTTCTTAGAATCCGGTTACTGGGTCTTCTCCAGGGTAGGAAATGCTGTGTGTAGAGACAGGTTACTGGGAGATTGCGGAGGTACTATTCTCTTGTATCCTTTGAAGTACCATGTAAACATATTATTTATTGAAACAAATTTTTAAATTATGAAAGCATGGCTGAGTGTGGGGGCTCAAGCCTGTAATCCCAGCACTTTAGGAGGCTGAGGTAGGTGGATCACTTGAGATCAGAAGTTTGAGCCCAGCCTGGCCAACACGGTGAAACCTCGTCTCTACTAAAAATGCAACAATTAGTTGGGCGTAATGGCAGGTGCCTGTAATCCCAGCTACTCATGAGGCCAAGGCAGGAAAATCACTTGAACCTGGGAGGTGGAGGTTGCAGTGAGCTGAGATCACATCACTGCATTCCAGCCTGAGCAACAAAAAGGAACTCTACCTCAAAAAAAAAAAAAAAAAAAAATATATATATATATATATAATATGTACATAACATATATAATATATAATATATAATACATGTTTAAATGTTTATATTATATATGATATATAATATATATGAGAAAGCATTTTTGCTTTCTTTTTTTTTGAGATGGAGTCTTGCTCTGTCACCCAGGCTGGAGTGCAGTGGTGCCATCTCAGCTCACTGCAACCTTGAACTCCCAGGTTCAAGAGAGTCTCCTGCCTTAGCCTCCTGAGAAGCTGGGATTACAGTCACATGCCATCACACCTGGCTAATTTTTGTATTTTTAGTAGAGACAGGGTTTCACCATGTTGGTCAGGCTGGTCTTGAACTCCTGACCTTGTGATCCACCTGCCTTGGCCTCCCAAAGTGCTGGAATTACAGGCATGAGCGACCACATCCGGCCAACATTTTTGCTTTCCTATAACAGAGGTTTACCACATCCACTGTTGGTTTACTCTTCAGTTTTGCCTTCCAGCACCTTGTTCTTTAGTCCAAAGCCAGAACACTGAAGGAGAGGGTGACAGTCTTGTATTCCATCCCCCACTGCAGGACTCAGAGCCTTTCTGTGACCCAGGCCTCCCACCTGGAGAACGGGGAGAGCAGCACTTGCCACATTCCCCAGAGGGGTAGCATTGAGAACTGGCTACCTATTGGTAAATGATTTCAGGATCTGTGAATAAAGGGGAGTATATTAACACAAAATACTCCTGTTTTTTAACTCCACAGAGTTCTAAGGAAATCTAATATAAAGGCTTCAGATCCACTTACAGTTGCTGCACTAGAGGCGAATGTTAATTAGTGACATTGACAATTGTCATTTTCTTTGTAAACCTACTTGATGTCTGGAAGCTGCAGGAATCTTGCTATATGAGCCTTCTGTCTTGGAACAACAAAGTCTCAGTCTGACCTTCCTGAAACAGACAAGAAACCTGCTCACCTCAATTACAGGCCTCAGCTGAGAATCAGGGTTTGGTGTCCACACAGTCTCTCTAGATTGCCTGGCTGGGTCCAGGGACTGTGTCTTATCTTTTAGCAAGGCTCCCTGCCTCCTCTCTCCAGTGCCCTCTTCCAGGGTGGGATGCACAGAAGGCATTTAATAAATGATGGCTGAGCCTGTGGCTGGCTGCCTGCCTGCCTTCAGGAGTGGCCTCACTTTATAGATGGGGAAACAGAGGCACACAGAAGTACAGTACTTTGCTTGAGTTCCTTGTTGGAATCCCTGGTTCAGGCAGGAGTCTCAGTTCAACCCCTAATGTTCATCTTTTCTACTCTCTGAACAGAGAGTGCTTGAGAAATTCCAGCATTTCCATCTTCAAAGCCAAGAAATAGGAGAAGCAATTGTGAAACAAGACCTGAACCTAGACAATCTGGGTGATGACTGAGCCACCATCCTTCCCCAGGCCTCAGTGTCCCCATCGATAAAATAATGATTTGGATAAGATGATCTCTCAGGTCCTTTGCGTTTCCTATGGGCTGTGTATACAGCCCGGCGTTTACAAGCCAATCAAGGCCATTTCTTCTTCCAAGTTGTATTTCTTTACCTCCTTGAGTTTCTCATGAGTTTCAAGGGGGCGCTGTGAAACTGGTTCCTGGGCAGCCAGCAGGCCCTTCCTTGGAGCTGCCTGGCTGCTCGGTTTCCCTGCTGGTAACCAAGCCCTTGTCTGTCTTTCCAGCAACCCTGCCCTTTTCTTATTGTTGCTGTCTGTTTCCATTTGCTCCTTTTATTCTCCAGGTTTTCCTTGACTCTGATGTTTTTCCCCCTGCTGCACAACAAGCCCTTCTGATCTCTGTGAAAGGCAAACCCGTGTCATTCTTCCAAATCATCATTGTAT